AAACTTGTATGAATCGCGCGGACAGATGATAGATGATTGCGCGGAACACATAGTAAAACAGAGCTCAATCTTCTGAACGATACAGATGGCTAGTCCGCGAGGCGGTAGAAATTAAAAAGTTATTCTCTTGATTTTTCGCATAACACAACGCGATAAAGTGCAAGCCATTGATCTTATCCAAAGAACGAAACACGTGATTGTTTTTATATTTATATAATAATACAATTTAATTCTGCAATTTATTATCTTTAAGAAATTATCTGTAAAATGTGCAATTAACGCATATAGAAAAAAAGGAAAAATCCGACAAAGAACAGCATAATTGCGTTAAATATAAATCGCACGAGCGACGCGTTTTAATTTACGATTGCGATACGTTTCGCGGTTGAGCAATCTGGAAAATGTAAGATCAAACAAACAAGCTGTATGAGCAATAAAATTCGTAGGTTACATCGATCCAGAACAGACGAGTTTTCGAAAGTGCGGACTGCAACTCCGGCGACACATATCACGCACGCACACCCGCGCGCCCTCATACAGTTGACATTCCGGAAAGATGGTACCGTGGTGTACGTATAAGGTCGAAGAGATCTCCCGGCGGAGAAAAAGGTAACCGTCGCGCTCCAGAGATTCCCTGGCCGACAGCCAAACACCCAACAACCAAGAAACCCTCAGACTCAACTGTATCCACTCCATCCAGGGACTTACGTACCTATCTCTGATCTTTTTCTCTTGTCTTTACGTGCCTTTCGCCTTTACCTTCGCCTCGTCTCGCCTCGTCTCGTCCCGGCTCGACCTCAAATTCCATTTTCTAGCTCCGCACTACCCCTTCTTCGACGGCTCACTGGCCCTTTTCGGCTGTCGCTCTAACTACGCTCTGTCACTCTTGCGCTATCACTCTCGTTATCACTTTCGTTATCGCTCTCGTCTTCCGCTGCCTTTCCCTGAATTTAACCACACTTTCAGCGGTTTCCCCTCGACGACCCCATCTGACCGTTCCCTATTCGCCATTCCCCGCCCGTGGTACGTCGCTCACTCGTCTTCATTAAGAGAACCGTGTGCAGTGATTAAATAAAGAACAGGCCAGTCGACTGTGCGTCCCCGATTGCGGAGGAAAGGAGGGGGGAAGCCTTCCTCGATACGAGAGTGCCACCCGATCTGCTAAATTGCGCGCTTTTAGGCGAGCTATTAGTCGGCACGCTCTGTCAGCGCCCGGAGCGCGGGAAAACTTTATCGCGGTGGGATGTGCTGCGCTTACTTAATTCCGCTTACGTAATTTCCGGCTATCGTAACCGCGGTAATGCTCGCTTCCCTTTGACGACGTATTTGGGTCGGTGACATTCTTACACGGGGATATTTCGCGTGGGCTTGTCTCTCGCGTAGCTCCCGAAAGATATTTTGCCTCGCGGCGAATGGACCCTTACAAGTAACGAAGTGACGCGATAAGAATGCGGCGCAGCAATAAAAACGGCCTTAACCTTTAAATAACCGCCGCTCGGAAGGTAGTCACGGCGCCCGCGAATCTACGGGTGTCGATCAGGTAGAACTGGAGCGCGTAGATAAAATCGGTATAGTTCGTTCGCAAAATGCGAAAGTCACGTCATTAACCGACCGAGCGCATCGACCCAGTTGCTGCCGCGCCATTAGCGGATAATGACACTTTTTCGAGCGTAGACTGAGTCGGCCAGACTTGAGTTTTCTCGCAGATAGAACGCAATCGATCGTTTCCCGCGCGGCCTCCGACGAGCGGCCTGCTTCGGAGAGAATTTTTCTAAAATCAGTCGAGATAAATGTTAATAAGAAAAGATTTTTAAAGTATGTGTATCCTCGGATCGACTATAAAGATGAAATTAAAATACCTCTCAGGAATCTTTACGCGATAATCATCGCTCATTATTAACGCGATCGCTTTGTTTTCCTTCTTCGGTTAGGAAATATTTAACATGTAAATTTCTTATGTTACGCGCAAAGAAATATAGCAAGTCGAAAGTAATAAGAGAAGAATTGACGAAATTGTTTCGTTAATAATACGAATATCGGTCGTTCTGCGATGATTACATCGATAATGATGTTAAATATATCGTATTTTGCTTTACATAAGCATCTGTATTGAATAGCTTCTCAAATATTTATATAGCATTTTATTCTTGAAATCTTGAAACATGACAATTTTTGTTGACAGACGTATATTTCATCTTTCAGTTATAATATTTATTTAAATAAGTCGAAGTTATTAGTGTCAAAATGTGTCTTTATAAATTAGTGTTATCAACAATTCTGTCTTTTCGCAATAAAAGAAAATATGCGCCGACGCGTTCGCAAAAGAAGAAATATTGTCGCCTTAAAAGAGTCGATATGAAAATACAGTAAAACCTTACACAATGGAGACTTGCTCTCATTCCGATGGCATTGTCGAGGGGTATGTTCGCGTCAGCCGCGCTTGCAACCCGGTACAGCTTATTTCTTCCGAAAGTACTCCGACAGAGGCACGCGGCGCATCCCTTCGTGGGCGTTAATATTCTCGATGGGTGGTCCAGCGAACCGGGAGCGCGTTGCTTCCGCCGAGAGGGTAGCTACTAGAAAATATGCGAGATATCGGAGAACCCTCGATCAGTCGCGCCCACCTTCTCCGTGTTATCACCATGACTACCGGACGAAACAAACGGTAGCCGGCATGGCTGCTAAGCCTCGGCAGCCTGGCAACCAGTCTCTCGCACTGCGAGAATGAACCCGTCGCTTTGTGCTCCCAGCTGTCAAGACTCTCCGGCCGACAGGTTTCTACCTACCTACGTGCGCAGTTCAACGGAATCGAGTCATTCGCATCTGACACGCGCCAATTTATGCTCAGAATTACAAAGGAAACGTTATGTCCCGTGTGTTACGAGCGAGCCTTTGAGCACGTAAATGGCGAATGGCACAATCGTGCCGATGACACGACGATTCCGATCCCCGTTCCGCAGATTTGGAGCCAGCCCGGTCTAAGGCGAGATCGGTGGCGTTTATGATCCGGTCGTGGCTTTATGCGAACGCGTTTGCCTCTGTCGTGCGTGTATACCGTCAAACGAACTGCCGCACGTCACCATCGTCCTTTACTCCATTAGTATTACGGTACGATATACCAGACTAATGGAGTGAAGTGCGGGCGACTTATTATGCAGCGGAAATGCCTGAATAATGCAACGTTTCGCTGTAAATATAGAAACGAGAGAATCAGTATAAAATGATGTAACGACGTTCCTTATCACACAGTGCGTAGTGAATTATACTCAGACTCCGGCGTATAAAGTAAAGATCCTCAGAGCGTAGACAGTGACAAATTGCTGCAGAAATAAGAGGGCGAAAGCAGTGGTTAGAAGAACCTTATGGGCTAAAACCGATGTAGCGTCGGTATATCAAAGTAAACGAACGAACAAACTATCCTTGTTTTTATTTTGTTACCGCTTTCTCTCGACTCGCTCGCTAAGTCCCATTACATTCAGCCTCGTTATTGATTCAACAGCCAATTTTCTAGTTGTGTGAAAATCTTTCTTCAAGGAAGAAAGATGCGGCAAAGACATTCGTTTCGCATTACAGTCGCTCGAAGACTTGTTACCGCGTCTGTTAAAAAATAAAATACATATCCGTCGATTATTTCTTATCTGTCACTGAAAAGATATATGCTTTTTATATGCTTCGCGCACATAACAAGAATTAATCAGTTAATAAACACAATGAAAAAAATATTCTAAGGAAAACTTGGTATTCACAGATAAAAAATATCAAACAATGTGGTAACGTTAAACAATTAATAAAGAGATTTCGCGATCTTGCATGAATTGGTATTCAGACGGCCACCAGCGATCGATAGCAGGACGTCACTGACGGTTACATTAGTCATGAACGCATTAACTATACAGATAAAAGGAAGGCAGCTCGCGACGACCCATCAACTAGAATATGCATGACGCTACGAACCGACAGACCGGGGACCACGCACGGCGAACGAAGGCTAAATCGAATGGTAACGTCAGCCTGCCATCGGGCAGGAAAGAAAGTTTGAAAATTAATTATGCACGCGCGCGCGCATCGCTTGCCGCGTTGATATCCGGGTCTCTCCGAATTCGCTCCGACGATTGCACTTATCACTCGTATGATTGATCTGTTCTTGCAGTCTGCACACATAATCTAGTCACCGTTTTTGATTAATTAGCAGATTTCATCAATGTTCTTGGTGCATCTTTATTTTATTTTTCATTTTTTGTTACATTCACCGATTGCTTTCTGGATATGTAATAGAGACGGCGCAAGAATACATCCGTTTTGATCACCCCGCGTTTAAATAATTCCGCGTACACTACATTCGAAACAGGGTTAAAGCACTTGCGAATACGAGAACAACTTGCGTTTAATAAACTCAATTATCTCGTCGCATGACATAGGTCAAGTTGCCGAGAGTAGAGGAATATCTGCGTCCGCCGCAGATCCTGTTACCTGTCTAAGTAATTAAGCAGTAGTTACGACGGCATATGTTTCAACGAAATATGCCGCAGTATGCAGCAGCTACGAATCAAATGCACAGAAAATTGAAACACGCCCGGAACGTATCGAAGAATTTTTGCTGGTGCTATATTACACTTTAAATATAAGAAATGTAAGAAATTTTCCATTGTCGAGTTTATTGAAGAATCAAATCTCGTTGTTATATTGTATATATAATATTCTGCTCACGTGAATCAGCGGATAGTTCACATTGTTAAAGCTACAATCCTCCTTTGGCTTCTTTTGAAATGCTTGCAATTGCAATGCGTTCTAAATAGAATTGTTATATCGGCGCTGATCGAGTAAAGTGTTTTACGGTAGTCGCAATCACACCTCGTAGTTGCTCGCGGTGAGTAGTTTGCAAAGCGGCGCTTCGCATTTGTATCGCCGTTAACCGGTGCAAGACGGATGCGTTGCCCGATCGCTGAGTGTGACTTTATGCAGCAGAGCATTAAGGACAAACGTTTCGCTGTGTGTTGCAGAGTACTTGATGTCAGGAAGTCCACGGAGTTATCCAGCACGATCCCCGGGGGTTGCTTCCACGCCAACCGTGACCAGGTGAGTTAGTATGCCTCTCGCGAATTTCGCCAATCTGTGTACACGAATGCGCGGCGTCTCTTGTTCCACTCGTGAATGTGACACATCCATATTTCGGCCGGCGTACAGCATAACGTAGATTTCCAGAAGGGCGCGAACGTAAGCGGATTTTTCTCGGCAGGGCAGCAAATCCGTGAGCGTTATCGGTTTACCTGCTAGCTTGGATTTCGCGTGGCTGAATTAAGCTCCAGTTACCGCGGAGAATCGATGGGTCGCGACTGATTCGTAAAACCGTAAACGCATCGCCGACATCCAATTTCAGCTGTTATTCGCCAAAATAAATTATTAATCGCGTCTCGTGTCACGACTTTGTCACTGTTACATTAGTTTCGGCTTTACACAATTAAAGCCAAATTACTCTCCATTATAAAAACAAACGTACGATTTGTTATTTTATATATGCCAGACTCAGTCATTATTTTTAATGTCGAAATTAATAACACAGCGAAAGTATATATGGCGCCAGACGAGTTTTGGCGCTCGGCGACGATTTTTATGCGAGAGCGACTTAAACTAGCCGAAAGCTTTCTCGGCGGTCACAGAGGATATCTTTACGACAAAACTCGAGTGTGAAAAGTTTCGGGAATCTAAATCAATCGGTCGGGGAGTGGAGGCCGAGCAGGCGGCCGAGAGCGCGCGATAGGAAACGCGATAAGTACAGAGAACTCCGCGACGATCCAGCCGATGGGAGGCAGTCGAGATGGAGCATGAGGTAGGAAAAGAGTGAGACACGTCTAAAGATGTTCCAATTCAAATGAGTTGAACTTTTAAAATATTTAGAATGTTGAACAGGCCCCTTCCCGGCATTTCCATTTCGCTCTCCCGTCCCTTCTCGCGCCTGGCGTGCCGGTCGATCGCCGTCAGTGACGCGCACGAAATTTCGAATTAGTTCGCTCTTTATTCTACCTCATTACCGTCCTTCAGCATTCCTCCTTCTTTCTCTTCTCAAGCAGCTAATGGCCCACTACGTGCCGCAATTCATATTTCATCGTTCGCACGCGGAATGCCGCCGAGCGACTTTGCCGTGCTATATAGCAGATACATTCCTTATTGTGCGATTTTATTTTACGACTTTATAGCGCATGGTAACTTTTTATTATAATTAAATTTTTCTCTCTCAGATAAGTAAGAGGTAAATGATTTAAAAATCATTTATCTATGATTGTCACAAAAAAGAGATAGTCTTTATACAATCTATTATACATTTAAGACAGATATCATGTTAAAACGATATAATCGTACGAATCTTGGAAGAACGCGTTAAATTGATACGGTCATCTTATATTGATATTTTATGAAGTATCACTCGCAGCTTGAATTATCTAATTTACGTCATATACCAATATTAAGAGGCTCTCTCGAATCCTTAATACGTTTCCCATCGTATGTTTCATTTCATTTGAACCCCGTTGAACAAAGTTAATCCCTTCAACTTTCGAATATCTGTACAACGATGCACACGACTGTCTTGAATAATCTTACGTAATATCAATTAACTGTTGCCGTGATTGACGCATACCGCGAAATTCTCGCTTCGCATTACACATTCATCGGTAGTCACGCGAGTTCGCCGATCTTTTCTCGAGGATCTTGAACTCCGCTCAGGGGTATCGATTATATTCTATACCTATATCCATACCGCACGACCGCGCCGCTATTTTGAATCTTAGCCACTCTGTCGACAAAGTACTCGGCTATAAGACAGCATTATTATCGTCATGTAAAGCTCAACTTGTTTGATAATTCAACTTCGGTTTATGCGAGATATACTGTGGACATATCAATGCTCAATTTGCCGCAGCGGTCTGCCGACTGGTATCACGTGATCGCTGTAATCACAAAGAACACGAGACCATTACATTTATAGAAACTGATAACTGAAATGGAAAATTCAACCTAAAAGTACCGCGTTTCTGAACGATAATCGCATCGACCCTTAACGCTTCCTCGCAATTTTTTCTCTGTCGACCGTATACTTTTTTTCCTCTCTCTCTCTCTCTTCGAAGAAAGCGCGTACAGAATACGCGTCTCGGAAAAATGACGAGAGAAGAAAGGACCATCGGTGTCACCGGAAACAGCAGGTCAGCGAGACGGAAGGTACTCTGTTGCTGAGGCAACGCGGCTAAAAGAACACGCGCGGCTCTTGTCCGAGAGAGCGAAGTGGACTTTTCTCTCCCGCTCTATCTTTCCTTTTACTCATCCTCCGTTCGCTCTACGCCTTACCCCAGCTTCTTTCTAAGACTACTAACGACTGAATCCGCCGAGAACACTGGTTACGATAGCTCGGTCCCTGCGGAAAACCACGAACTTTTTCCAGCGTATTATTAAATCATGGTATCTTTCTAAAAAAAAATCAAGTAATTTTTGGTTGCATTACTTTTAGAAACATTCAATTTTCGCTTTTGTTTTCAAAGAAATTGATTATAAAACAATTAAAATATTATTTGATATACACTTTTATTTCTTTAATAAAAATGTGCAAATTATTTAAATTAATATCTTTTTACAACTTTTCAAGCTATAAAAAGTTATTCTATTATGTTTGTGAAAGAGTAAAAATGATTACGAATTTTAGTGATTAATCGAAAACGCAATAAAAATATGTTGGTATTGAAACCTTTTATCTTTCTCTTTTTCGGGCACATCACAGATACCACATAGATTTAATATTGGTCTATATACGTATCAAAGAAAGCAATATGTTTTCCACTTTTTTCCTAGCCAGAATAAACGGAAATGGTCTTCGTCGTACCTTGGATGATACGCGAAAGAAGACAACCGTTTCTCTACAGTATTTATCGCTTATTAACTGCAGCAATGTGGCTAAAAGAACGCTCTCTACACTCGACCGACAGTAAAGACTCTTTCTTTTCCTCTTTTTGTTCCTTCCTTTTTGTTTTTCTTTTGAACGTTCTACCTTATCTATCCTCGCCAGCTTGCTATCTTTCCTATCGGTCTCTAACTACCGAATCGATCGGGACGGCGGCCATTGTCGACGCCCGCGAAAAATTAGCGCCGTTCTCAAGAAAGTTTTGAAATCACATCGAGTTTATTTTCCCGAGTATTACGTACGTCTATGTATTTTGTAGTATTACAACTTCCGTAAGAAAAATAAGCTATCGCGACATATTATCGCAGAGAAACATTACGGTGACTGCGCTCAGCAATTCCCTTTTTTCCATTACTTAAAATAATTAAATTTTCTACTGTCAATATTAATCACTTAAAAAGCACTCTATTTATAAAATGTCAAGAATTGCAATAATTTTTTTTTTGCAAAAAATATTTTTAGACTAGAAAAAATGTAATTTTTTAAAATATTAATTAAATGTATAGCCTTATCATTCTGTTTTCTACATTTCAAAAATTATAGTTTTGTGTATATTTGCAAAAGAAACATAAAATGTTAAAATCAGTGCATCACATAAACTAACCAACATTGACAAGTTGAAAGATACAACATTATAATTTCTGTTCACGAAACGTAAAGCGCAAAAATCGTCGGTGCACTTCTGTAGAAGCATCAAAAGCGTATTTTACCGGCGAGATGACCGGTGACGGTAGAATTATGGTGCGCGCCGATAAGACCTTGAGATATTTATTGCTCAAAAGGTATCGAAACATAGTGGCCTTTCTTTCAATCCTTTATCGTTCGTTTAATTCACAGTCCGATTTTCCACGACACAGATTTCTTTATGTCGGCCAATTCACTTGTTTATTCAATAATGACAAAATAACTTTCCGCAATTTTATGGAGATGTTATATATAAGTGACGAGAAAAATAGAGATAAAAGAATACACATTTTGTTCCGAACAAATTCACGGGTAAAATAGGTCGACGTTCAAGACTCTCGCTCAAATGCGCTTCGTTTAACTCTGCATTACGTCCCTTAATTCTCCAGGCCGCCTCTGTACTATGAAAAGTAAGTTGTTTACCATGCATCCTTTCCCTACGTACTCCGGCCAACCGGTGCAGCTACGGTTACGGGTATGCTTTTGTCTCTTCGCGGAGCGACGGCGGAACTATTTAAATTAATCAACATGGAAACCTTAATCTCGCCCGACGTCTTAATCCCAGCTTCAATTTGCGCGCGCGACTCAAGCCTCCCTTCCTCTCAAACTTTCCGCCCGCCTTACCAAACTGAGCCCTTCGTTCGGTGGCGCGCCTTTCACGGTACAGGAAGCCGGATTTAAAATGTTTTCTTATTCCCCAGGATGTATTCTCATTACGGCCCCTGTCCAAGATATACAAAATTTTTGCGTGATTATTTTGCGATGGAGCCGGTGAAGCGCGAGTTAAGAATGGGCCGCGTCTTATTAATTTTTATGCATTTTTATTATTGCCACTTTTTAAATATGTAATGAATTCTAACTGGACCTTTTAAATGTCCAGCTTCTCCAAAGCTCCTGAGAGTTTAACGATTTAAGCTTATTAGCTACAAAAGAAAAGGGGAAAAAAGTAAGCGGCTTATATTTTCAGAGGCATAATTTGAAGAAGTATGCGGAATTAGGTTACGATTTGCTTTTCTTATGCATTTCTATAAGATTCATGATAGGTCTGATACTAATTATTGCAGCCAGAAATGCCAGAATTGTAATACTAGCGAGGAAGGAAAATTACCATTTGTACGGGACATACAGAATCACCCATTAAGCTCACGGGAGCTTTCTAAGAACTGACAGTGAAAAGATAAATTGTGCGGAATGCAGTTTATTGTATAGTTGAAAGCAATGTTTTTCTCGAGCCGTGTTTACTTGTTTAAATATCTAATTGTTTTAAGTTTTAACTATGCGTTCAAATCATTAAATAGGTCAAAATTGGATGAATGGAAAATTTACTATTCTTTACAATTAATCATTTCTAGACAATTACATATTCCAAAAATTCATTTGATTATTTCGAGTGATAAAGCGTGTACGCATTAAACGGCGAACATTATGATGCGATCACGTGAGTGCG